CGTATATACATGAATACCAGGAATTCTGATCTGGTGTGATGATCTGGTCTGATCTGATCTGGTTCTCCAGGTTAGAATTTGGGTGCCATCCATTCTAACCTTTATTACTGGTCAGGGAAGAGCAGTATAGCCTTTGTTTGTTTGTGTTCTGTTCTAGTAGAGCGGTACTAGAACACTAAAAAGAATTCTTTTTGTAAACGTAAATCATGTAAAATACTTGGTGTGTGTGTGTGTGTGTGTGTGTTTGGTGGCTGGTATCAATAAAACAGCCCAAAAGCTCAGTGTTCTGTTTAAATGCCCCATTATAAACCCCACAACACCCCAGACTTAAGGTGGGGTTATAAAAGTAACAATTTACCCACAATTCATACAGAATTATTTAGTTCTAAACTACTTAATACCTCATTTACAGAGCATCTGATTAACACATCATATAAGTACATTTATAATGTATTTCTAGCCTTGCTCTCTTTTGCTTTTGTATTATTTGTAAGCAGACTGTTATTAAAAAATGTTGCTGGCTTAGTAGCAAAATGCAATTAGACCTCTGACTAAAATTTGGCTTTAATGTCATGCTAATGTCCTGTCTTTATAAGCCTATTCAGAGGTGAGTAGTGACTAGGTACATTTTCTCAAGTACATGTACGAAACTAAAATTCACGGATGTTTACTCTCCTGAGTATTTTTAAATCATGATACTTTTACTTCTACTAAAGTATGTTACTGAGTAAAAGAATCTTTAGTCCATCATGTCATACATCCCTCTGACACAGACTCTCTTACGAACTCCATTTCCCAGAACTCCATTGTAGATGACGTAATTGTGGTTCCACCATCATTCACCAATCAGCGCTCATCCTCACCTGAAAATTGATCTCTTTCACCTGTTCTCTGTATCATATAAGTCTACAGAGCGGTCATTCTTGTTGTCATTGTCTTACTGTGAATCAGACTTTGCTTGTACCCTGTTTGCTGGTTCCTGTTATGTTTTTCCTTTTTTGTATCTGGATCTTCCTGGATGTGACCTCTACCTGTTGTGTGACCATGATTTTGGACTGTGTTCAAACAAGTAAAGCCTCATTCTCTGATTTTAACTCTGGTATTTTAGCCATTCATATTTAGACACTGATTTTTTTGTGGTTAATTTTAGTTTGTTTTAATGGTGGCAATATTTTTACTGCTTCATGTTTGGTTACATCCCTGACTTTGGCTCTTTGTATTTTAGACCAAAACAATCCCAAAAGGGCAGAACAGAGCTGCACAATCTTCTGTTCCTATGCTGATAAATGCTGGATGGAAGTTCCACTGCGGTGCTCAATGCTTAAGTAGATTTTCTTCCTGTTTCTTTTGTATTTCTAGATTCTATTTTTAAGTTGTTTTGGTGAAGTTGGTAAACTGTAACATTTACAAAACTATTTTAGGCAAGTTTTGGTATGTTGTGCTGGTTTAGGCTCCTCTACCCACCTCTGAACCTGATCATGAACAGTGTCTGTGTTAGTTTTGATGCTGCTTCCACAGGTGCAGCCACATTCACCACCATGAAAACAGAAAATAGAAACACTTATCATCTATGCGTATGCCAGTTTAAATTTAACCAATAAAGTTATTGCTGATGACAATATGACAATATTGCTGATGCTTGGCCAAAAATTTGCTCCACAATACATAATCAAACACAAATCATTGTTTTACTGCTTGTCTTTTGTCATTTACAGCGGCTTGCAGTGCAGGAACGATGAGTGTTTGTAAAGAGTAGCATGTTAAAGCAGCAGATTGTGCAGACAGTACAATAAAAATGATCACAGGAAAAAAAAAATGCACTCTGATGTTGAATTCCCTCATGAATTAGCGCGGTTCAGTTGCCTGAATTCGGGTGGAGTCGCATGTCAAAACAAAACTAAAGAAAACTCGTCAGGCCCCATCAACCAGTGCAGCTCCAACAGCACCTCCCAGTTGAAAAGGAGATTCTGATTGGCTCTGCTGCTCAGTTTTACTGTACCTGTTTGTGCTCGTCAGCACGTAATGCAGTTTAGGGAAAGAGGTTTTTATGTTCGCGTTCTGAACTCAAAAAGCGGTGGGGCGTCATCACAATATTTTGAAAAGAGGTGGGTCAAATGCCTGCTCGCCACCATGGTTCGAGCGGCACTGACTGCCCATATAACAGGGAAAAATAAAATAAAATTAAAACTTCAGGAAAAGCCATTAAACACAACATTCAGAAAAAAAGTAACTGTTATAACTGTGTAAAAGTTTAAGTTTGAAAATAACCATCTTTCCTCCAGTAAATCACAAACAAAAGAACATAAACATGATGCAAAAAATGTCTACTCATAAAAAGCATAAAGATTTCAAAGAGGATAAAATGTTACAGTGATTAAGTGATGCTTTCTTGTTAGCTCTTTGTTCTAAAAAGCTGTGCAGACTTTGATGACAGTTCAGCATCTAAATTTATGTGTAGATGTCTGCTATTTTCTGCTTTCCTATGTCCTGTCTGTGCCCTGCAGTGGATCCGTTTCAGACTCTTCCCCAGCCTGTGAAGAGAACAGTGTGATGATGAGGATGATGGATATCTGTATGTTCTCCACTGCAGTGCTGTACTGTATTGATACAGATGTTACCTGTGTTTAATGTGCAAAACAAGTGTTTGCCGCCTCATTAGTCAAAATGGAGAGTAGCTGTATTAAAGTTTTGATCAGCATCTGATCTGCTCAGCTGAGTAGTTTATCACAGTGAGCTTTATTGATTATTGATTACAGTGTGATCAGACTCTCACAGCTGATTTGCTACTATTGCATATCTGTAGTTTATCTATGAATACATTTACATGTGTAGGTGTCTGCGGTCTCCTGCTTACCTGTGTCTCATCAGTGCCCTGTTCTCCTGCGGCCTGTGAAGAGAACAGTTTGATCATGAGGATGTGTAGTTTTTCTCCACTGCAGTGCTGTACTACACTGATGTAGATGTTACCTGTGTTTAATGTGCAAAACAAGTGTTTGCCACCTCATTAGTCAAAATGGAGAGTAGCCATATTAAAGTTTTGATCAGCGTCTGATCTGCTCAGCAGAGTAGTTTATCACAGCGAGCTTTATTGATTATTGATTACAGTGTGATCAGACTCTGCTGATTGGTTACTGTCGTATATCTGTAGTTTATCTATGAACAGAGTTTGATGATGGCTAAATTTACATGTGTTGGTGTCTGCTGTCTCCTGCTTACCTGTGTCTCATCAGCACCCTGTTCTGCCGCAGTCTGTGAAGAGAACAGTGTGATCATGTGGATGTGTAGTTGTTCTCCACTGCAATGCTGTACTACACTGATGTAGATGTTAACTGTGTTTTCTAATGTATAAAACCAGCATTTGCTGCCTCATTAGTCAAAATGGAGAGTAGCTGTATTAAAGTTTTGATCAGTGTTCTCTCTGGTCTGCTCAACAGAGCAGTTTATGAAAGCAAGCTTTATTGCTTATTGACTACAGTGCGGTCAGACTCTCACAGCTGATCTGTAGTTTATCTGTAGTTTATCAATGAACAGAGTTTAATGATCGCTAAATTTACATGTGTGGTGTCTGCTGTCTCCTGCTTACCTCTGTAACAGCAATACCCTGCTCTACCCCGGCCTGTGAAGAGAACAGTTTGATCATGAGGATATCTAGGTGTTCTCCACTGCAGTGCTGTACTACATTGATGTAGATGTTACCTGTGTTTAATGTGCAAAACAAGTGTTTGCCGCTTCATTAGTCAAAATGAAGAAGAACAGCGTTCAGTTTTTGATCAGTGTTCTCTCTGGTCTGCTCAGCAGAGCAGTTTATCACAGTGAGCTTTACTAATTATTGATTACAATGTGATCAGACTCTCACAGCTGATTTGTTACTGTAGTTTATTTGTGAACAGAGTGTGTTGATGGATTAATTTACATGTGCCTGCTGTCTAGTGCTTTCCTCCGTCCCAGCAGGTCTCTGCCTTTCATCCATTTCAATATCGCCCCTCCTCTGTGAAGAGAGCAGTTTGATCATGAGGATGTGTAGTTGTTCTCCACTGCAGTGCTGCACTATATTGATGTAGATGTTAACTGTGCTTATCTAACGTATGAACCAGTGTTTACTGCCTCACTAAACAAAATGATGAAGACCAGCATTATGATTTTGAAGAGCATTCAGAGTAGTTTATCACAATGAGCTTTACAGTGTGATCAGACTCTCACAGCTGATTTGTTACTGTAGTTTATCTGTAGTTTATCTGTAGTTTATCTGTAGTTTATCTATGAACAGAGTTTGATGACGGCTAAACATGTGTAGGTGTCTGCTGTCTCCTGCATACCTGTGCCCCAGCATTTCCCTGCTCTGCCACTATCTGTGAAGACAATAGTTTGATCATAAGGATATCCATTTGTTCACTACTGCAGATTAAAACATGGCTTGGATGGAGAACTGACCTGTGGATTGGGTGCTCCAGAATGTCGATTCAAGAAGTATTCAAGACACAGTATTGCAATTGAGCATAAGAGAAGGAGGCCAAAACCTGTCCCCTGGAACAAGATAACACAGATCTGCAGTGATGGATTCTGAATAACAAACTCATAAACCCACACAATCATTTGATCAATTAGCTTCTATTAATGATTCATATTAATGGGAAATTGTGTGACAGTGGAAATCTCTTTACAGCTCTTAAATGCATCATGTACGGAATCCACCTGTAGACCTTCAACTGACCATTTCCCTCAGTTTAATCCTTGAACCCACAAGATGTGCATAGCTGCTTTCTAGCATTCACAACTTCAGAACAGTTTAAGCTACAGATATGGTGCACACATCAGAACACTCAGCAGACCCAGCCCTCAGACAGCGTGATGTCACCTAGCTGCATGAATCCAATAGGACACAAAATTAATAATAAAAAAAATTGCTGCATTATACCAATCATTTTTACTTAATGATAAGCAATAGAATGAACCACCATCACAATGCTTGCATTTTCAGCTAACAGACAGTCTAGACAATCTATTTTTGGAAAGGTTTCTCAGTTCACACTTGTTTACAAGATCTATATAAATAAAAACTCACAAACCTTTGCAGGCGCTACGTAAATATTTGATTAAAATTTTGCCAAATTGATAAAGATATCAAAATCATTAGAGTATGCAACCTAGAACATAATTATCATTTCTTTCTGTGCATATTGTTCAGATTTGTGTCTGTTAATGGTTTTAAATGTAACTACTAATTTTAGCATATTTTCTATCATTTCTGTAAAAAAAAAACTTTTTCGTTGTACAATTTGAATGAAAAAAAGAACGGTCCGAGCTTTAGATATGCACATTCATGTGCTAAATATTAAGGTCTAACAGGGTAATAAGTAAAGTAAAATAGGAATACTAACAAACCAGGGCCAGCGCTAAAGATGAGGTGGAAATGGTACTGTTGAATGAGACAAAATGTATTCTGTGCTCACATGAACTTTCTGGAAAGAGTAACTTTCTACTCCACACTGTGGTAATTTAAGTTGTATTAAGCTTTAAGTTGTATTAACAGCTAATTAGTACAGTTTTAATGCTCTTCTATACACTGTAATCCTGCATTTTGTTTTAACTCAAATAAATTAAGTCTGTTGTACATAAAACTCAGTATATCCCACACATTGCTCAACAATTTTAAGTTAAGGGAATGTTTTTGATGATTTTGTACACTCACATGGCATTTTTGAGTTGAATTAACATATTGCTATTTAGTTTAGTCTGTTGCTATGGCAACTTTAAAACCCCACATTCAAAATATGACGACATTTCTGTTGGTTTTAATTGTTCCTTTCTTATTAAAGTTGCTGAACAAATGTGTGAAACTGAGTGAAGCTAAGTAAGCTGTAAAACACAGTTACATGTTTGTTTTGTTAACGCGATCTTGTTAGATTAAACGTATATTTCTTTCCCATTGGCTCCTGGCTCCATCTATTTGCATATGAAGTGTTTCTTTCCCTTTGTTTTACTCACCGTCAGTGTGCTTTCATTCCACCCAGGCTGCCTTTCTTCAGGCATGTGTTTTTTATATATGCTTTACTCAGCTGCCTGACACTGTATTGTTGGCTAAGAGTGAAGGTTATCATTCTCTTTGCTGATAAGTGGATGTTTGTTTTGGTCAGTGACCATGTTCACAGTAAAGAGTAACCTTTTGGTGTTTACCATAGTGGCTAATATCACTGAAATAGAAAAAGATTCTCAACTGCCTAATGAAACATATAGTCAAATCACAATTTCAAGACATTAAATTAAAATAATTTGAATTTACAAGTTGCACAAACATATGTTTATGTTAGCTTAACTCAAATTATAGTTATTCAAACTCAAGTTTTCATTTCACACACACACACACACACACACACACCATCTAAACCGCTTATCCTTCTGGGTCGTGGTGGGGTGCTGGAGCCTATCCCAGCTGTCAACGAGCGGAAGGCAGGATATGCCCTGGACAGGTCGCCAGTCCATCGCAGGGCAAGTTTTCATTACACATTACTTAATTTTTTTAAGGCAACGGGTTTCCTCAGATTTTTTAAGTAAATTCAATTTATCTGGGCTTACAGTGTAATGGAATCTTCTATTCTTTCTTAGGTGTCCTTTAATTTTACACTTCACAGTTCATAAATGTATCACTTACACTGTAAAAATTGGTTAGTAAAATTAACTAGTTTTACTTCAGTCAAAGTATTTATTTCACACATTTGACTTACTGATATTTTGACTTCATTAATGTTTATTTGTATTCATTGAACTAGTTGAATTGATTACCACACAAAGTCATTTTATGAGACTTTTAAACAGTGTAGCTGCTCCACACAATCTTCCCCTCCAGCCACACTATTTTCACTGAAACAACACAAAGGAATGAAGCATTACAGTCTAACTACAGTCAACAAAGTTTTACAGTTTTTTTATTTGGGCACAAAAAATGAACAAAGCATCACTCTCTGCCAGCTTGGTTTCATTTGTTACTGTGTCATTTCTACACCATTCAAGGAATGAACATGAGACAATGCTGCCTTCAATCAATCTAACTCCATTTTCATATATTTCTCCTCTAACCTTTTTTTTAGCATATTAACACCCACCCCCCCGATTAAAGTAACCTAGAACTGATACTGTAACAAATAATAAACATCTGTCAATGTTTTAAGAAGGGTGGATCTACATCACAAAGCTAGAACATTTCACATCATGATCAACTCCGTTTGACTATAAACAGCTTACCTTAGACCCAGATATATGCTCTCTCTGCTTTCTTCTGGGCAGCAGTCAGGTTTCGTTCTTTGTCACACCATTCCCACGGAGGCAGTGGACTGCTGTCAGCGTATGTAGCATTTAATACAGTAGCCATACATGACACATATCTGCCATCACTAAGGAAACAAGATTATCCAAAAGATACTTGGAATACAAAACCGGAAACTTTTACAACATTTCCATACAGCAGATTCCTGATTTTGAGCTCTCCCATCAGTTTGCTGATTTTGCGTTTGGTTTCTAGATTTCTGCCTTTCCAGCTCACGCACAATGCAAAATGTGACAGTAAAAACAGTAAAGGCAGGTGTGAACAGGTAGAGGGCGAAAAAGATTACTCTAGGGGATGTGTTCACAGATGCACTGAAAGTCTTTCTCAACAAAGTTTTCTGCAACAACAAGGCCAACTAAGGTCATGACTAAAAATCCATTCTCTTTGGTAACATCTGTCCTAAATGCACCCAATATAGTTGCCATCTCTAATTCACGTTCTAATACCAGACAGCAGAGAATCTGAACTCTAAATCTAAAGTGTGGAAATCAGCTTTGACATCAGCACTCATTTATACACCACCTACCACCAATAGCAGAAACACTCCACCTTCAGTGAGATATGAGATGATCAGGAAGTGGCTGCACCACCAGTCCTCATGGTAAGAACAGCAGAGTGCATGTTAAGGTGAAGCAGTTAAATGATAAACCTGCTCTCCAATAGAAGCAATAGTGTATGATATGAATGGTACTGGCGTCTCTGACAAAGTTCACCTTCATACAGTCAACACGATTCTACACTGTTCTGCTGAATCTGTTTACACAGCAATGAAAAATTACAGAGCTCTTTCAATACATTGCAAACTGCTCTCAGCAAGCATGCATCAGTTATAAATGTAAAGAAGAACTATATTGTTTTCTTAATATCACTACTCTGAAGGAATCCAGCATTGACAGAGTCACTGAATATGAGTGTGATGGCTGGATGATAAATTTACCTTTAAATATCTTATCAGCAGGTCTGAATGGAACCTGTGTCCATAGAACTCGGAGAACTCTGATCATGCCTAAATGCTTAAACAGACATGTTTTTATTTATTTGCCAATATATTTTAGAATTTTAATTATGATTTTACAGTAACCAGCACAGTGCAGGCCAAGCTAAGAAGAGTTCTGTAGCTCTGCCCTCTGTTTGTTCCAAGGTGAAGTTTAAACGCTACATAAGCTCAGCTGTTTGCCGTGAAAAATGTCTAAAATCAGATTTACTGCAGACGAGTTGAAGAGATGTCATCTGTCCACACGGATGACAGAGAAAGACAGAGCACATGAATTCTCCAACGACTTTTATGAGGAATGGAGTCTTGTTTTGTAAAGTTTGTCAGCACTCAGTGGATGACCTCAGGAAACAGACGCTGCTGGAGCGTCTGAAGAAAAAACAGGAAAGCGAGTGGTTTGGGTAAGTATCATCTTTACTGAGTAGCATACTGAAATCATTTAAACTGTTTCACCAACGTGTTTTAAACTGTGTTTAGGTAGTTAGCTGACATCAGCTATAGTGAACCGTGTTTGTCCCTTTACGCTAGCCAGTTAAAGATTAATTTAAAATTGCAGGACTTGAGTGTGTTTCATTAAGCACAGCACCTGTCTCACAAAACAGGATTTCATTATTTAAACAGCTAAATTCAAGCATCTTCATCTACAGGCCAGTTTATAGTCCGGATAACAAACTAAATAAATAATAAATAATAACAGACAACTAAAAAAAAAACTGAGGTTGACAGATTTCGCAGCACTGCAGGCTTTCATAGTCCTGCACCAGCAACAAAATGTTGGAATAGAACATCATCTGTACTTTCTATGAAAACTTTAGAGAATTTATGTTTAAAAAACTATGTATGATGGAGCAGCTAATGAAGCAGCAGTGAAACCACACAGAACAGTCTGAAAGCATTAACAATAAGGATTTAGAAGCTGCGGGGTCGCTATGGCAACCAGAAAGAATAGCTACTTGTTTTCCACACACGTGCGTTTCATTCAGGACTTCTTTCTACGTCACACAGGGTTGCCTGATTCGCGGTTTTCCCAAAAATTCACGTTCGTCTGAAAGTGCAGTGCGGGGGAAGTTGCATTGTTGGGGTGCGTTTTCTGGTTGGACTGATTTAAAAGTAATCGTAGTTGCGGAACAACTTTGAAAATGAAAACAAATCATCAAATGTATATTTATCCTAGTTCTGAATAGCTGGCAACTGGTTCTGTTTCTGAAATCAGTGGAGCAGCAAGAAAATAAACCACAAACTGTGACCACAGCAACATTCCAGAACTATACTTTGTCAGTAGCCCTGAACCCCAAATATGCTTTGTGAAAAATTGCCCAGGATTTCCAGAAAAAAGCCTTCATTCTTCTGGGAAGCTTTCCATAAGCTTTTGGAGAGTGGCTATGGGAATTTGTGCTCATTCAGTCAAAAGAGCATTTGTGAGATTGATAAAGTAGGAGCCTGCAGGGACTGGTGACATATGTTATGCGATCTAACATATTAAGTTGATTGTCCCGGATAACTCCAAGATTTTTAGCCAATCCTGAAGGATGGACGGCGAAGGGGTTAATAGTGACACAGAGGTCCAGTGTACGGAAGTGCTTTACAGAAAGGTAAATGAGTTCTATCTTGTCCAGATTTAATTTCAGGTGGTGGGTCTCCATACATACCAACTTGCACGTTTTCATGCAGGTCTTCAAATTAAGTCAAGCCATGTGGTCTTTATTGTCATTCCTCAATACCACTTGGATACTTTGGAACAAAATGTTGTTCTTCAACAGATCACTGTAACTATGAAATATCTTCCTGTTTCAAATGTCTATATAACTGAATAAGTGTGACAGAACTCAGGTATGGATGTCTGTGTTACTGTATTAGTGCGGTAGAACTCAGGTATGGATGTCTGTGTTACTGTATTAGTGTGGTAGAACTCAGGTATGGATGTCTGTGTTACTGTATTAGTGTGGTAGAACTCAGGTATGGATGTCTGTGTTACTGTATAAGTGTGGTAGAACTCAGGTATGGATGTCTGTGTTACTGTATAAGTGTGGTAGAGGATGAGCCCAGATGGTCCCCCAACTTTCCCTTTTTGTGCTGATCCAGGCCAGGTTACGTGGGCTGCTCCGGCAACAGCTGCAACAAGGAACACTATCTAGAGGCCTAGCTCCAGGGATAAGCCTTGATAACCCTCTCCCAGGCAGGGAACAATATTTTTGGATTGATTCAGTCTGGGTCGTGAACCAGACCTGATCGCTTTAGGAGACCATACCAGGGACATATTACTCCAGATGACTTACTATATTTCCAAAAGTATTCACTCACCCATACAAATCTTTGAATTCAGGTGTTCCAATCACTTCCATGGCCACAGGTGTATAAAACCAAGCACCTAGGCCTGCAGACTGCTTCTACAGACATTAGTGAAAGAATGAGTCGCTCTCAGGAGCTCAGTGAATTCCAGCGTGGTACCGTGATAGGATGCCACCTGTGCAAGTCCAGTCATGAAATTTCCTCACTACTAAATATTCCACAGTCAACTGTCAGTGGTATTAACAAAGTGGAAGTGATTGGTAACGACAGCAACTCAGCCACAAAGTGGTCGGCCACGTAAAATGACAGAGCGGGGTCAGCGGACGTTGAGGCGCATAGAGCGCAGAGGTCGCCAACTTTCTGCAGAGTCAATCGCTACAGACCTCCAAACTTCATGTGGCTTTCAGATTAGCTCAAGAACAGCGTAGAGAGCTTCATGGAATGGGTTTCCATGGCCGAGCAGCTGCATCCAAGCCTTACATCACCAAGCACAATGCAAAGCGTTGAATGCAGTGGAGTAAAGCGCCGCCACTGGACTCTAGAGCAGTGGAGACGTGTTCTCTGGAGTGACGAATCACGCTTCTCCGTCTGGCAATCTGATGGACGAGTCTGGGTTTGGCGGTTGCCAGGAGAACGGTACTTGTCTGATTGCACTGTGCCAAGTGTAAAGTTTGGTGGAGGGGGATTATGGTGTGGGGTTGTTTTTCAGGAGTTGGGCTCGGCCCCTTAGTTCCAGTGAAAGGAACTCTTAATAGTTCGGGGATGGCCCCTTCCTGTTCCAACATGACTGCACACCAGTGCACAAAGCAAGGTCCATAAAGACATGGATGAGCGAGTTTGGTGTGGAAGAACTTGACTGGCCTGCACAATCTGACCTCAACCCGATAGAACACCTTTGGGATGAATTAGAGCGGAGACTGCAAGCCAGGCCTTATCATCCAACATCAGTGTCTGACCTCGCAAATGCGCTTCTGGAAGAATGGTCAAAAACTGCCATAAACACACTCCTAACCCTGGTGGAAAGCCTTCCCAGAAGAGTTAAAGCTGTTATAGCTGCAAAGAGTGGGCCGACATAATATTAAACCCTATGGATTAAGAATGGGATCTCACTCAATTTCATATGCGTGTGAAGGCAGATGAGCGAATACTTTTGGAAATATAGCTCTGAAGATCCCTAGACAAATAAATAACGAAGAAAAGCTTGACATCAGCAGCTTTAACCTCAACTGTAAATCATAGGCTTTGGCTGTGCTCATTTAGTGAATTAAACATGTATTGTGAATCAATAAAGAACTAAACAGTTCTGAAATTGCAGCGTATGCCTGTTTTAAAATACACTCAGAGATTATAAAAACCGACTGTGGTAAACAGCTGAGATCTTATCAATCTGACACACAGGATGCAGGAAGATTAAAACTGCCATTCTCTCCTATATAAAAAGATGTGGTTGTCGTATGTGTCAGCAATAGTGCTGTATTCATACATACGTCAATCTGCAGAAACACTATAGAGAAACAGATCAGCCTTTTTTTCAGCATTGACTCCCAACAAGAAGAATATCTGTATTACCCTGATGAAGTTTAATCCAGTTAAATGTTCATCCAGGTAAACATATTAGTTTTGTACTCAGTCAGAGCATTTAGGGAGACAGCACTGTCTGACTTGATAGCAAACAAAAACCTAACCTCCATAATTTTGATCTCATGAATCAAAAACGTTAACATCAGCAGCTTTAACCTCACCAACCAAACCCTTAACCTCAGCAGCTTTAACCTCTATATATGTGGCGGCCCCGTTATTGTATACCAGACTACACCACCCCTTGGTTTATACCTAGAGCAAAAGGGGAGCTCTGACCGCAGTAACTTCACAAATGCAGGTTCAGGAAAATACAAAAATACAATCTTTATTAAAGGAAGCTGAGGTCATACACTGACTGTCAGTTCAGTTTATAAAACAAAACATAAAAATAAATAAAAACAACCAGTACTAAAAAGTACTCACAGTACTACAGGGATTACTCAAGCCTTGGCCTGTTGGGACACTAACGGAAGATTATTCTCTCAGTGACACACGTGAATAGAAAAAAAGGATAAACACCATTCGAGCCATACATGCTAATCACTCCAAATGCACTGCACTGCAAATGTCTCCCATTCTAGTGAACACAGCAATCCATCCCCAAACATTCCTCTGTCCCAAACTCTCTGGATTAAACTTAACCCCACATAGACTGCAATATAACTAAGGGAAAATAATAGTAATAAAAAATAACTAAAAGAATTTGCAATCCCTCTAGCCAGTGGCTCACAATAAACCAAATACCCGTTTGCACACACAATATGGCCACAGGCAAGAGGGCAGCTTAGGCAATAAAATAACTTTCGTTAAAAGTTAGAGCAGCATACAATTGAAACTCAATAATAAAACAAAGAATAAAAGTGGTAAGAGAACAGCAACTGGCACAGGACATACGCTGTAATCAATCTGGGGTACTAAGGCCAATGATGTAAACTGAACGCTACAGTTGGTGCTGACTTTGCTCCAAATTCACCATGCTATTTGGCTTATTGCACACTAAATGAACTAAAACCTGCACCGCTGCTGCTGTCGCCACTCGCACCGGCTTAGCTCCAAGTGGCTAAAGCTAACAGGACCCAAGCTTCAGCTGCGCCCGTCCACCAGTGCCTCGACACTTGACGAGAAGAAACCTACTTTAAAACCGCTAAATACGAGCATTAAAGCAGGAGCAAAGTAAGCAACATACAACTCAACATACCTTGACGTAATAAAAACTGAACCCGCGGTTCCAACAAGAAATGCTGACACCAATACGCCCGCCGACTTAGCCTAGCAGCAATGAACCAAAAACTGCTACCAGGACCCCAAGGTGTTTGTATGCCTACCCCAAAGACCCCAGGTGGCTCTGTTCACGCCTGCTCTCATCCTAATTACTGACGTAGCACACAAAGAAAAACAAACAGAAGGTGTTCCACTACACAGGCTACATATATTAAACCTAATCCCGAGCAGCTTTATTTTCCATAACTGAAACCTAAGCATAACTAACTTTAACCTCACCAACTAAAACCTTAACCTTCTGCTGTGAGTTTCAGTGTACAGTGTGACAAGTTAACAGAGCGACTGTAAGACAGAAATTGGTTTTCCTAAATACACCGATGTGCACAACGCCGTTTTGAATGAACTGGCTTCATTGGAAATTCTTTACATACAGAGCTGTCTGTTGTGGCCTTCTCCATGCAAGTTGAGCATTCACATCATATCATGTTGTTAAGAGTATGTAGTAAATCGTAGCCTTTGGCTGTGCTCATTTAGTGAATTATACATGTATTGTGAATCAATAAAGAACTAAAGAGTTCTGAAATGGCAGCGTATGCCTGTCTTAAAATACAGTCAGAGATTATAAAAACCAACTGTGGTAAACAGTTGAGATCTTATCAATCTGACACACAGGATGCAGGATGATTAAAACTGCCATTCTCTCCTATATAAAAAGATGTGGTTGTCGTATGTGTCAGCAATAGTGCTGTATTCATACATACGTCAATCTGCAGAAACACTATAGAGAAACAGATCAGCCTTTTTTTCAGCATTGACTCCCAACAAGAAGAATATCTGTATTACCCTGATGAAGTTTAATCCAGTTAAATGTTCATCCAGGTAAACATATTAGTTTTGTACTCAGTCAGAGCATTTAGGGAGACAGCGCTGTCTGACTTGATAGCAAACAAAAACCTAACCTCCATAATTTTGATCTCATGAACCTCACCAGCCAAACCCTTAACCTCACCAACTAAAACCTTAACCTCAGCAGCTTTAACCTCACCAACCAAACCCTTAACCTCACCAACTAAAACCTTAATCTCAGCAGCTTTAACCTCACCAACCAAACCCTTAACCTCACCAACCAAACCCTTAACCTCAGCAGCTTTAACCTCACCAACCAAACCCTTAACCTCACCAACCAAACCCTTAACCTCAGCAGTTTTAGCCTGAATAATTTGCTTCTGATCTAATGGTGTTTAATCAACATGTTGCTGTGCTAGCATTCTCCACACTGGACTGTTCAACACTGTTTCAGAAAGTTAATGCTAATGCTAAAAAAGCCTACACTGCTAGCACATGTACCCTGTAGAAGCAGGGCTATAATGCAGCCACAGTTGGTCACTTTGTTAAACCGTTTCCAGACGCTAATTCATTTGGGGTTTGTTGTTCCCAGTGACAACGGCAAGGAAGCAAAATCAATGAAATTCACTATGAACAGGGACTCAAAATGGGCTAGCAAAGACACAAGGTCTAACAAGCAGTGGCTCCTGGCTGAGGCACAAAATGTATAGAGCCAAGAATATACTTGAGTGAAAATCGAAAATTGTCTACATTGAACTTAAGAAACATAAGAAAATCCATTAAAATGTTGTTTGGTGGTGTGATTCGGTGACTAATCAGTGGATCTGCTGCTCACACAAATACAAATATAGCTATTGTTGGGGGAAATGTTAATAAGTATAAATGATCATTATTTGTAATTAAGATAATCAGCAGTGAAATTCTGAACTCATTGATTTCTGTGGCCGGTAACCACTGAGAGCTGATTATGGAGTGCCTACAAATTACAGTCACCAAAGTCAAAGCATGACGCACCAATATGAAGCCTTATGAACCAGTGCAGGCCTTTCAGCAGAACGAACACAAATGATGTTCAGTTAGAGTTTTTGAAATTATCTCTGTTTATAGTCATTGGGCCTCTCTCACCAACCGTTCTTAATACGAAATTTCTTCCTAAAACCCACTTACACAGTTTTCACTTAGAATCTGACACCAATGTTTTCATATTTGAGATTTGTTCTTAGGTGAGAACAGAATCTACACACACTCAAGAGCACAAAGGTGAGAACAGCTTTGCAGTTTAAGAACAGGTCATGAATTTTTTTCTTAGCACCTTTCTCAGGAACACATTTAAGAAAAACTTAGGAAGACATTGGAAAATGAGGCCCAGTGTTCATGAGAAATCTCCAAAGCAGACTTTTACCAGTTTGATCTTATGACTTTGATACAGTAAATAACAGATTTACCAAGATTAACAAATTAGGCAAAAGATCAATATAGTTTATAATATATAATATAGTTTTATAGAATGAACTGGATCATTCTACAGTGATTACTTGTTTTCCTCTGATCGTATCTTAGAGCTTTTAGTCTCAGTGTGCCAATTTTTTTTTGTTTGTTTTTCAGTTTCCTCTTAGAATTACTCAGTTCTTTTCCTGGGGAAGCTGTACCTCGGTTTCTGAACTTGCCACCACTGTCACTGCTCACAAGTGTATGTGTCAAAAATGGTCATGTATATATTGGATTTATATTCGTCCACTTAGATCTGGCTGTTTAGCTAAATGTGAGATCAGTGATCATTTATGTGAAGGACAGTATTTTTCATTCGCAACAGTTTTCCAGTTTGCCTTGTTTTGCCATGTTAAGTTTAATTCTTATTGAAAGTGCCTTGATTTTGTTTTCTTGTCTTGATTTAATTACATGATTTTAAAAAGACAAGTAATCCAAAAGTAACAGAAAGTAATCAGATTAATTTAGCAATCCTTTGGATAAGATTACAATAACACTTTTGAACAATAATCTGTAATCTGTACCAGAAAACATTTTTAAAGTACCCCTTCCTTCCCCTTCAGAGGATATCTGACAAGACTTTAAGTAGCCAAACTCAATGCCCATCGGTGTCCAGGAGAATGGGTGCCATGACAACAGATCAGTATTCTGGAATGGTGACATCTAGTGGCTGTTCACAGATCCTGCAGTCAAGAGTCCAGGTGTTGATATTAAAGCTGATGGAATTGAATAAATCAGTGTGACGTCTAGAGAGCAGCGAGAACTCAGGAACCAAACCTGTGTTATTCTGACTGTGTTCTTCTAACCTACATATTCATAACTTTACTAAAAACATGAAATTCTTACCTTTCAATGTATTTAGGGTTGTATTTATTTGTATTTATTCTAATGTTATACAATGTTTTACTCACAAGATCACATTTATTGCTAAGGTAACTAGTTTTTTTTTTTCCCCCAAAAATTGTGACATTTGCACAGAACCGTATGTATAAAGAAGAGGAAGGATAAATTCATTCAGAGACGTACCAAAAACATCAATATCTGATAAGAGGGAGAAGAACAGAGATCCAGCATCTACAGAAAGCAGGAGGTCACTGACAACTTCCATCAATATAACTACAGTTAGGGTTATTTAGGGTTCTGTCTGTAGGTGAGGCTGGTTTGAGACCAGATTTCTTCAAATTACATGTTATAACAGCAGTTTTAAGGTTTCACTAAAGAATGCGCTTGACTTGATTTAAATGTATGGTTTCAGTTTACTCACTTTTGGCAAGAACTGAATTAATGCAACACTTTATTCATGTGGAATTTAATGTACACATTAAAATCAAGTAACATAACTGAATCTATCTATTTATTTTTTTCAGTGTAGAGGGAACAAAAGCAGATTTTATTAAATGAACAACTCAGCAAATGAGTAGCTGGAGTAGAGGTTACAGATATGCTGGCCTTGAGGAGGGGGGGCATGGAAAAGGTCCAGCTCAGAGAATGAGGAGCTAGACTTGATAATGAGTTCTGGAACAAAAATGGGATCTATGATGATGAAACTGGGGATGAGAGATTACAGGAAGGCATAAAAGAGATAGAAACCCTTATATAAATACATGTATCTGTTTTTTGTGAATGATGCTGTTTAGGGTTCTGGGCCTACAGGAGCTGCTATTTAAACAGTACCAAAAAAAACAGTAGTAAAAACCTGAAATTTTAAGTCAAACTGCATTTTATTAGCTTTTTAGCTCTTTTATTTTCTCAATTAGTCTAAAGTTATCCTAACTTACATTTTTAGTACTTGAAGCTAGATCAACAAAATACAATATGGGGTTTCTGCATCCCTGTGTGAGGCCTGTAGGTTCAGTCTCAGAGTCGCAGGACCCTGTGGTTCCTCCATCAGCCAGTAGATGGAAATACGTCCACAGTTTTTGGCCTGTGAAGTGAAGAAGTCAATTGTGTTGCTAAAACTTGTTGTGATAAAGACAATTCAGTTTTTATCTAGGTGCTTTAGCTAAAATCAGCCGACATTTTCCAAGCTGACATTTTACTAGATGGATAAATGTTTTGTGCAGCACTGGGTCAGCTAACTTCATTATAGGCAGGCTGTTTACAACACACACGTACCATTACAATGTATCCATTACATGTATAGCATTAAGCTAAAAAACAGCTGAACACCAGAAGAATGTGCAGTTTTTTCTACACTGTTTATTTTTGAGCATTGCTTGTATTTTACCACAAAGAAAAAGACGTCAGCAGTGAACACAAACAACCTCCCTTCCCTGCCATCCTATAACTCATTTTTTAGACTTCACTGTAGTTAAAATATTTATATGCATAAGTAGCTGTTCTTTGTGCTTTCAGAATGAGCACAAGGAACTGTCTGAGCACAGGTCACTCTGTTCAGAGTCCACTCATCTTTACATTCTATCTTGGACTTTTGACTAAACTAAGATGATATTGCTTTTTAAACTAAGATGATATTGCTAAGATGATATTGTTTTTTCAAGCTTCAGTCTGCTTTTACCTTACTGAGAAAAGTTCTGCGTTATTTGGACCGAGTCAGATCACAAATACACAAAAAACTGGTGAGTGTACACAAACTTTCTCATGGGAACCTTTTGAGATACAGGTGCATTCACTTGTTCGGTGACACATAAAACTTAGCAGGGTGTTAATCTTCTATAATGTGTGTTTGGTACACAGGCTGATATCGTTAGCAAATACAGTAAAACCCCCCATGGAACAATAGGATAGGAAAAAGT